GTACTCAGCGGCCAGCGGGATTAAATCGGGCAGAGCTGGATGGGTGTGGCTTCGGGAATACAGAGGGGAACGTGGGACGACACAGCTGGACTCGGCAAGGCCTCAGACGGGATCGGCCAGAGCCATGGGAAGGAAAGTGCGAGTTATTTCACAAAAAATTCCGTCATTCCGCTGGGCAGCTGTCAGGTCCCGGTTGGTGCTCAATCAGCTGCCGACACAGGGAGGGGGCAACCAGGCCTTTTCCATTCATTTGTTATCACCCGCACTGACACATGGAATCCCCAGAGGATCATGGGAAAGCAGAGGTTTTCGCCTGAGTTCCGGCCATTAGGGCAGGGCGAGTGTCTATAGCAGCAGCATCTGAATGATGCTTTTGGAACGTTGCTTGTCTTTATTTGTCAGCAAGCGAATGTGCGTATGCATGTGTGTGCGTATGCATGTGTGTGCGTATGCATGTGTGTGTGCGTATGCGTGTGTGTGTGCGTATGCATGTGTGTGTGCGTATGCATGTGTGTGTGCGTATGCATGTGTGTGTACGTATGCATGTGTATGCGTGTTTGTGTGTATGCGTGCGTGCATGTGTGCATGCACATATGTGTGTGTGTGTATGCGTGTGCATGTGTGTGTGCATGTGTGTGCTTTTGCATGTGTATGCGTGTGCATATGTATGTGTGTGTGTGCGTATGGTCCAGGTACAACAAATGTCCCCACAATGTGATAAAAACCTGTTATTTTCACATTGTGGAGACCATTTATTCGGTCCCCATACGTACAAATTCAATTTTATAAAAATCTGTGACTGCAATCAAACAACTAAAAATGCCAAAAGTCTTGTATTTTGTTTGGTTACTTATGTTTAAGGTTCGGGCTGGGTAGGGGTTAAGGATGTCATTGTTGGGATTAGGGTTTTGCCCATAGAAATGAATGGATGGTCCCCACAAAGATATGAGTACAGGTCTGTGTATGTGTGCTTCCAGGAACTCGAGCTGGTAAAGTCCATCAAAGCAGAGCTTCTCAGACTGCATCTTATATTCGGCAGGGGAACAGACCCTGTTAAAGATTTCACAAAAATGTGTAGAGCACCAGCTTTCAAATGTCATTAGTGCCCTGTGATTCACTGTTCAATTTCACGGTTGTTACAAAGCTGGTATTTTAGAACTGATGTTTTATTTAGGTTCATTGTATGGTTCCTAAAAACTTAACTCTCCACCAAACAAATTATTTTCAATCAACAGCCGTCACTGCAGTAGACACACACGGCACTGCCAAGGCATGAAAATCATTACGGTCGTCTACTTTAATGCTGTTTAGTTGTGGTTTAACCCTGGACTGACTTCCACTCACAGGTGTAGCCTGACTCAACCCCTGTACTTCCTTGGATAGATTCCAAGCCTACTCACACCCTGTACTAGATAAGTAGTAATGATTGGATACAAAGGGTTGATGGATGGATGGATGAAAAGGACTATGTTGCAAAGGGTTCCTCACACCTCTTCACAATCTGCTGGAAAACGTTCCTCATGATTTCCTAGCTCACAAGAGTCAACATGTCACATTTACATATTTAGTAGACACATTTGTGCAAAGTGATGTGAAAGTGAGGTAAATTGCACATTACACACATACATGCTGTCATAGTCGACTAGGCATAAGTGCAGTTAAGGCTGAGCTTCCAATGAATGCCCAGGTACTGTACAAGTATAAGAAGTTTTGGAGCAGGAGCTACACAACAGCTTCTAACAAACCAAGAACCTAATAAGACTATTCAGAATGCAGCATAACAACATTCAGGAAACACAGAGAGGCATCAGGCTAGTGGAGGAATTTCTGCAAAAGATGGGTCTTGCATAACCCAGAGATGTTTCTTGAAAGTGGAGAGGGAGTCTGATGACTGGATGTGTTAAACCGGCTTGTTACTAAAAAGGCAATGGGTTCATGTGGATTGACTGGTTACCAGGACCAAGCAGCTGAACACAGAGTGCTTAACTGGAACCGCTCTAGAAACAGGCGAGTGTGTGCAAGTCTAACACGAGTTGCAAAGCAAGGGTCTCGTCTACAAGGACGACCAAAGGCAGAGGCTGAACCCTGATGTCTGAGTGAGACCCAGACCATCACCGCCTGGGTGCAAATCCAGTCTCTGCAGTGAGGCCCACCTGTCCCTCACTCGAACCCTCTCTGCCCAGGCCAACAGGGGCATAAAATGCAACCCAGGCCCCCGAATTCACACAATCCGGCAAAGGGATCAGCCGTATCGTGCTGGAGGCAGACACAGGGGCCCCATGCCGATCCCAGGAAAGCAGTAACGTCCTGCTTCTAACAGGGGAGGAGGCTCGGCAAGTGCCGGGGGTCGTCATCGGAAACAGGATCCTGGCGACAGCTGGCGACGGCGTTAATTTTAAAGATGTCTCTGTGGCCGGATGGTCCCACGCCAGGGCGAAACCACGGAGCCTGACCAGCACTGCAGACAGGCGCCATGTCACTAGTGACATAACCATCGAGCTGCAGACCGTGATGATGACTCTCAGACCACATTTGATCAAAACCCCCCCCCAAGTTTAGCATTCTAATATCTAAAGTAGCAGAGGACTCCTGCTCGAAAAGCTCCGCCCCCTTCACCCACCCGCTGAAGCTCACATTAAAATGAGATGTGTCACACTCCTGGGTCGTTTCCTCCCCCGCTTCCCGCCTACATACCCAGGCAAAGAACCAGGCAAAGAATCTGAGACTTTGTTCGCTCCTTTTCTTAGACCTGAAATGATCCTCAAACACATTGTCCAGCTTCTTTGACCCGTAAAAGGGAGGCGACAATGAGCATTCAGGCCTTGGAGGAAATGAACAGTCATATTACTCTTGAGGCCTGGTGAACAGGACCTCCCTTTGCAAAATGAAACAGGAGCAGTCAGGGGGAAAAAAAATAACCCTCAGTCAAAATAAGAATGCCCCACCCAAGAGAAAATGTAAACTCACTCAGATTTACATTTAATAACCACTAAACAGCTTAACAGGTCAGGTATCCAGCATCGCCCATTGTGCTACGCTAATTCACACTAAGCTAATTCACGCTAAGCTAATACACTCTAAAATAATACACGCTAAGCTAATTCACGCTAAGGTAATACACGCTAAGCTAATACGTGCTAAGCTAATACACGCTAAGCTAATTTACTTCAATTGTTCAATGTTCCAGGTCTTCAAACCAAATGACATACGCAACTCAGGGATCACTCTCGGCTGAGCAGGGTCTCCTGCATGCCCATTGTTATGGCATGACTGTCTTCTATGCCAAGGTTTCTCAACCCAGTCCTCGGGGACCACCAGACGGTCCACGTTTTTGCTCTCTCCCAATTGCGTAGGACCAGGTTGAGAAACCCTGTTCTATGCAACTCTATGCTTAGGGCATTAAGCACACACTACCTCGATTGACATATTGTACACATTGTACTCAGACACTCATACTGTAATAGGATGGCTGTCTCTTTTTGTGTGTTGTTCTTATCTCTTCTTTATTACTTATGCTGCTAAACTGAGAGCTGCTAAACTGTTTTTCACTGTTTCTGTAATAGTAACACTAAAGATCTATCTATCTATCTTAAATGTGAATATTTATATTTGTATTGCCGTTTGCTAGCATTTTTTAACAGGACTGTAGTTAGGTTAGATTCTCCATTCTCATCAAATAGACCTGCCTCAAAATGACCTCAAAACGTGCATCTCTGACTCCTCGCTACAAATTTCCCATCAAATATCCTCCTGTCATTTTTTATTTCCTGGAGGACAGAGTCAAATGATTACTTCTGCAGGAATACATAAAAACACTAGAGCAGTTTTATTAGAAATAGCTTCAGTGATGTCTTCTGTTGTTTTGTAAAAATACACGTCTAGTACTACACACAAACTGGCAGGTTCTCACGTATATTGAATGACACTCGGATTGAAGGAGCAAGGCGTCACAATGCAGAAGGCATTTCACAGTTTATGGCGTATAAATAAACGCCGACTAGCAGGACTCGCAATGGCAGAAAAGCACGAAGAGAAACATGCGGCTAGCAGGCTGCGCCAAAAAAGATCACCTTACTGTTGAACCCTGCCAGATTAGCGACATCCACGCAGGTCTGATCCCTCCCAGTCAGGGGGACCTACCCGGCGAGTCACTCCCCCTTGAGGCCGCTATCCCAGACACAACAATAACCAGGGCTTCCCAGAGGCCATGGCCTCTGCCCTGTTTGCCTAAAAGTTTATCTTACCTCGACATGGTGAGATAAACTCACTTCAGACGGCGGCGGGATCCTCGGGGAAATCAAAGAGGGGGGGTTACCCGAACACAGCCCTCAGGTCCAATCAGGGGAGTGGACACCAAGTTTATGGGACTGTATATTTACATCCATATTTATCGTGCTAACACCACACCGGGTCTGTTTCACAAAGCAGGATTTCTTGCTTAGCCAGATAACTTTGCCAGATTTAAGGTAGTCTGGGCTAAATGTAAGTTGATGAAACTAAGGTCTATTTAGCCCAGACTACCTTAAATCTGGCAAGTTACAGGCAAGTTACAGGCAAGTTACAGGCCCACCATCTCATCAGTTTGTTGGCCATGCAACACATCTGCGCTACACCGATGCTGGATCACTGACAATTAAGAACATATGCCGCCCGAGTTCAGACCCCATTATGGTTTATCTGTTTTATTCTGCTCACGTTGGGTATGTGTCACTGTGGTACTGTATGTATGACAGTGGGGTGAGGGGGGGTTGCTAGTAACAGTGCACACAGCATAACATTGTGTAAAAGACAAAGACAGACCTTTACGTGCTCTCAAATAGTTACAAGCTACCAATTTTAACTGAGAAAATCTCAGAACATAAAACACAGAAGCTAGTGGAATGTCATCTCCTTTCACGTGATCAGTGAATGGCCTGCTGGGAGGACACCGGCGGTGGGGCCGTCCCAGCGGAGGACGGGGACACGGCCGCGAGATGGACGGCCACAGCTGGAGGACTTACCGCTGGAGCAGTTTGCCCCCCCCCAGCCTGGCTCACACTGACAGGTGTTGGGGGCCACGCAGCGACCGTGGACGCATTTCTCGGCGCAGTGGGCTGGTGGGCCGGGGGAACAGGGGGGGGGGGGGGGGGGGGGGGGCAGGGGGGGGGGGGGGGTCACAGTGGAGGAAAGAAAACAAGGGAAAGTG